ACTAGTTATGCTATTGTTACACGTTTACGCACTTCGTTACCTGCATACATCATACGCGGCACTGAAAACCATCGGTTTACCCAAGCTGCTTTGACAACGGCGTCTAATCCTATTATAATATGGCTTTAGATATTATGAAAATCACCAGACGGCAATAAGCTCGACAGATCATTCCAATGAGCCTGTGAAGCCGTTAGGCAGAAATGTACTATTATTGTATGTAGTATTAGATGTAGAAATGTACAGATAATCACAGCTTACTGTTAGCAAGATAAGACCACTGTAACGCTGTCGTGGGCCTCGTCGTCTCCATGGGGAGAATTGGCGCGTTTGTCGTTTGGACTGAAATTGGTTGATGACCAACAAATGACCAGCAACAGACAATGTTCTGTACATGTTTTTTTTTTTTTCGAGCTGATGGCCGGTGCCTGATGCTTGCGCTACGTGAAGTGCTGAGCCGTGTTTGTGACGCTATAAAAACCCATTAGAAAGGGTCGTTGTCTTCGTACATTTATTATCATCAAATCTATTCAAGCCTATTTCGACAAGTTCTCTTGGAGAGGCTACTCAGGTGGAAGATTAACATAAACAGTTCGCAGCAACGATATATGAAGCCATAAAGTAATTGCTAGTACCCTATGTTAGTTATTTAAGGAATTTATTTATACATTTAATTTACCCGAATGCTGTTCTGTTTAAGGAATCATTCCGTACAAAGAGGACATATTTTAATCGCATGATCTGCCTATATTTGATCAACCAGCAACTACTGGGTCGCGGCACGTTATAACAATAGTTTCTGTAGCGTACAGAAACGTTTCTATTTTACTCCTATAGGGAATATCAATGTTTTTCATGCACTTCGACTGTTTTCTCACTCTAATCGATATTATGTAATCCATCGATGTTCAACAATTGCCACCAAAATTATCTTATTATCTAATAAATAAAAGTAATTCGTTTCTAAAGTTTTTTTCTAGTAGAATATTCATGAGTTCACTAAGCTTAGTCGTACTCCGGTACGGAAACGTCTTCATTGCATCAAACAGTTGCGGACCTTCGTTGGCTAACCCGAGAGAACGATAATTGCATAACCAACTTAAAGCAGAAAAATTTAAATCTAAGAACCTCTATGATCTCACCAAATGTTTGCCATTATCAACACTGAAGACACATTTGATCGTTACATACATTTAAATCCCACGGAAAGTTAAGGGTAAGTTTCATTAACAAACTGAGACACGCTTTCCCTCAGCTTTCAGACATAACCCAACTCGCGCACTCTTCGCGCACCCAGCCGCATTAGCCAACATCCTACTGTCTTCTGCTAACGTCTATATGCATTTGTGTTCTGCGGCTGTGGTAAAGACGGGTGGGAAAGATAGTCGTGAAGCTGAACCGGACTGTGAGCGAATATCCAACGTTTTCATGTCGACGGACTTGTCCTGATAAATGTCACCAATTAGGAAGTGGCTCTAGTGACTGATCTGGTAATTGTTTTCGATGTAAGGAGGTTTCATTTACACTTGCTTAGATGGCATGCTATCAGAAACGCTTATCGTTGCATAAGAAGACAGTGACTTCGAAAGAATCCGATTCCAGGTGACAGTGATCAGTGGCGCTCATTCAACTATGGAACGTTTTATCTTCAAGTTCTGCCTTGAGCTATTTGCTCACTAGGTGTTATGTTAGGTAAGACGCTCGACAGGCGCAAATAACGATCGGACTTCATTAAGACAGTTGTTAAAAGATAAACGTACATCGACTTCTATATTCGGTCAACAAAAAGATATCACTGGGACATTCAACTGTTACAACTGTCCGTTACACGGATAACCTTGCCTCAATGTTGACATGTAATCTTAATGCTTTAATGTTAGTTGTTGTACTAAATATTCAGGTGCGTCTCTCTCTCTCTCTCTCTCTCTCTCTCTCTCTCTAAATTAAATCCGTTTGCCCCAAAGAAGTTTAATTTAGTCACTTACTTATTTTGTTATTGTTTATAATCCACGCTGAGATCAGGTATCTTGAATTCATGTAATGTTGTTTGAGACTTTTGCTTATAATATTAAATATACCTACCGTCCGCATAGGTTCGAGTCTAAATGCGGGACGTATATCCCGCCAGATGCTCTCGTTTCAAACTCGTATACTCGGTGCTAATAAATAAAGCACATGCTATCATGCCAGTGCTTATTGAAAAAACTACGCGCTCTATCCGCTACACTAATGAGGGATTCGCTAGTTTATATAAGCGATAGATTGAAACAAACATGTTCTTTCAAGTACATGTAGGAGTGCCATTTGTCATTAGACTTCTATAAGGCCCGAACAATTAGTGGATAAAAAAAATCAAATCATCCAAAAGATTGATGGATGTGAGCTCTAGTATGCAATTGCCCTTTATGGATCTAGATTTGATAAAAGTGTTGGTTTTCGTAGAAATAACGAACGTTTCACATTTTCATAAATTTATCTTGTGTTTTTGTGTATTTTTTTATGTGACCGTGAAAAATAAACGCGACTGAACATGTTTTGTATCATTGCATTTCACGGATAGCCGTGTTTTAATTATAGTATTATTAATTATTATTATATCAGTATTATTAATAATTATAGTATTATTAATTTAAAAAAAATTTCAAAAATATGTATGTATATATATATATATATAGTTACGGTGACACATAAAAAATGTAAGGCACATTTCTCGTTTTGCGCAATTCTCTCATATATGCACTTACTTGCATAGACCGTACTCATAAGCGGGTTAATCTATATAAGTTGTTTGCAGTAGTTTAACTTCTATAATATCTTTATTAACAGGGTGATACATTTGCGAAATTAAATAGGTAGAATAATGGATTGCTAGTTTATTTGACTTATGTACAAGCTAATTCAAGTATGAAACAAAAGCACTGGTAACAAAAAAGAAATGGTAGCGAGTGTTTTTTCATTGTTTTGTTATTCCGAAACCTAGCCTATAAAAAAAGTGCTAACTTAGCTATGCGTTGCAAAGATCGTATAAGCAGTAATAATTTTTCTTATTAGTTATTGAGCAGTTGAATATTTTAAAACAAAATCAAACCTGTCACTGAGTGCAGCTTTTTTTTAAATAAATCAGACATCATTTACCTCAACTTGACTAGAAGATTTTTAAATAGAAATCGACTACGTTTATTTTTCGTATTGATTGGAGCAAATGCTTATTGGCTGCCTGTTTTCTATAAACCCAGAACAATAGAGAAGCGAAACTTTCCGCCATCATTACTGCCAATTCTATTTCATACATGTGTGCTTAAACGAATTAAAAAAGCCATCGCACAAATTATTTCGTTTTCGTGAGTTGGCGATTGCATCGATTTTTCATCAAGTTCTACTTTTCACTCTTGCCTTCGCTAATCTCTTACACAGGAGGACTTTACGCTTGTGTAATTTATCATTGGTTTCCTTATAGTAATCAACATTAGCTGGTTGATCTTTACATAACTTCTGGGTTAGTGCAATACCAAGCGAATGGAGTGCTTGTCCTCAAACGATTAATCCGTTCTGAGCTGCGTTTCCGCTACAAGTAAAATTATGAACGGCACAGGTCGGTTCCTTTTGGGTGTTCACGCCTCCAAAAAAAATAAAAACAGTTTCTATTGTTGACTTAGTAATTATCATTGTTTCAAGGACCTATTGAATTAGAAAGTTCAATACGAGCAATATCTGGAGGGACCGAGTAGATGAAAAGATAATGACTATATAGATGTTACTAATCGGATTTTTATTAGAGAGTAACATTATGTGCTTACGCACTTGTCTGAACCTGGGTCACTCCTGGGTCTTTGCGATCAGCAGGCAAACACTTCATCGCGATACCACGATTTCAGTTGCTTAGAAGTGAACTTAGAATGTGTCTAATAAGTTGTAGATTACTTTAGTTCTATTAATTACGAGGCAGTTTCCGTTCTAGTTACAGAGTATTATGGCGAAATAAATCTATTATCACACAAAAAGCTGACCCTGTCTATGATCTGGTATGGATTAACCAGCAATTGAATATATGCGTGAAATGGCTACCAGGGAATAACATGCTGGCCTAATTATGGCATCGGATTCAGGTACCTTAAATTGTTTTATAGCAGGAAAATGCTCTATTACAGTTACTATTGATAACTAAGATCGGGCAAAACTATCGCGGTAATCATGAACATGTCAGATGATTTTTGCTTGCAAGCCTAAATCGCAGCTGGTGTTTTACAGTATGGATAAGGTTTGTCTATGCTTTTAAGGCTCTACAACGTTTCACTAACGGTGTCCAAGAGTTCCACAGTCGAAAGCCATGAGGCAATCTAGGTACTTAAGAATAGAGGAGGTTAAAACCTTTCAAAACTTACACAGGTGTAAAACCTCACGTTATGGTACTTCGTGCCGAGAGGCTTGCATACACAGGTGCTATGCGCCTGTCTGAACAATGCATTTGGCACCCACTTTAAAACGGTTTCCGAAGCTTTTCTATTGAGGACATGCAGACTCTGGTATTAAATATCAGGAATATGGTGTGCTTGAAGAATTTGGTCTAACGTAAGCGGGTGTTTGTTGATAAAACACATGATAGGAGCGCAAATCGGTTTTATATCTGGAGTGAATTTTTGATCTGTACGATCATTCGTAAAATGTTCTTGATGACGACAATGAAGCGTATTCTTATGTAAACATAGAGAATAAGCCTAAATAAATCAGTGTGCTGGCTATTATCAAAGCTGTGGCACAAAATCGGTCAGCTAGTTATTAGTTTCAATTTCTAACTGATTAATCTATAATATGTTTCAATGTTCCTCTACCGGCGCGCATTCCGTCACTAATTTCATCTGTTTAGATAAATCGACCTATTAATTCGCATGAGAAAATGGGCAAGAATCAAATGGTAGCTGATGGGAAAGAGTTCAGAGCGGTTGCGTCTCTTCTCGTTTTGTGGGTCGTTCTGCCATTAATCTAAACCATAATATTACGTCGCAGACATCGTTTCGGCAGTTTTCTCGAGCTGGCCTGCTCGGGGGTCCATTTGCCAGAGCGTCGGTCGCTCTTCGAAGTTGCTCTTACCCAAAACGGTGCCACAGTCGAAATCGGCGTCATGTGGCCAGAAAACTACCTATCATAGGGCTTCTCGATATTCGCTGGTTCTATACGGAAGAGGTGACTGCAGCCGCTGTTGCTTGTAGTCAGCAACATGGCGTTGCTGTGCGAGCCCAAGCGTCCAGTGTGGCGTCCGCGCGTATAAAGCTTCCGATCAGCGAGGGAGAGCGAAAGAACTTAGTAGTAAATGGACGTAATCGTCATTCAGCTGGGGTCCATCAGTCTGCTGTTGGCTGCTAGCGCATTGATTGTCCATCCCTCCGTCTGTTCGTTTTGCAAAGCTACAGATGACAGCAGTTGCAACAGGCTTAACGATATAAAGCATCGAAGTGATCGTAAGCAAGATGGAACTTTCACAGTTAAGTCAGATGAAACTGGACGATAGCTTGTCGACTGATACCGGTGGGGGCAATAGTTATTCGTTATTTTAAGTGATATTAGTGCTGTGTGCGACAGAACACCTGAATACCGTGTACCAATGCTGCTTTTGTATACAGATCGTCAGATCTGGCTCCAAACTTAGATGAGAATGTAATGCCTGTACACAGACGTTTCTGCTGTTAAAGGATAAGGAAGTCGGTTACAGGTGATGGGGCTGAACGAGTAGTTCTTGCGGTCATTCTCCGCTGAACATTAGCGTTCACCTAAAATAATAAGCGTGATATCGTGCACAATCGAATCTGGCAAACTAATACTGCGAATCGCGTTGAAGGTACGGTCATCGTGTGCTTGTCTGTATTCAGAGCCGATAGAAACAGCCAAACCTTGAAGAGACTATTGATTGCGCTGACAAAAGCTTCGTCTGCTTTGTCTTAGGGAAGAGAAACAGCTGAGGCTTAGAAAATCCTATCAAGTGTCAGTCGATCAAAGATATCTATATTTCTATATGAACGAGTGGAAGTACTTGTGTTGTGAGAAATTTGTTCTCATAGTTGTCCGAAGCAAGCGTTTAATTCTACAGTGTTATTCGTGTGTATTAGCGTGCCGAGTGCATGTATGTAGTGGACTTGATGCCCTGTAACAGATTATTTTTAATTCCTAATTTGGATCATATTAATCGGATATTGTGAGCGATACTTAGTGCTCGACGAGGTGTGCCCTGAGTGTAGAACTGAATCCGTTCTTATTATAGAATTATTAAGTAAATTATCTAGCTTTGTTTAGTATAGGAGTTTTATTATTGATTAAGACATTTGTTTTTGGTGTGTTAATGTCGCAATTTTATTTGTGATAAAAAACAAGATGCCCAGTTGTATCTGATGCGGCGTTCGACATAATCCTTTCGACAACGTCGGATGTACCCACCTTAACGTGACACAATGCATAATGACTACAGTAAGTTTAGGCGTGAAGTTTAGTTAATTTTTAAAGTTGATCCCATAACGATTACAATAATAGTGACGTTTCTTAGTTATTTAGATAAGTTTTAAGCAATGATATTGGCAAGTGGGCGCTTTATTTACTTGATTAACCGAAAGACCGTAAATTGTTGGTTATTGAAAAATTAGCCGAACTCGCGCTCTTTGATGCGCGCTAAAATTCGCAGAAATGAAGAAGTACGATTTACGCGAAATACGCAAGAACGTGAGCTCGTCAAAGAACGACGTTAAGACGTCGTCCCCAGATTTCTTACTTGACAGCTTAATATAAAATCACCATTTAGGAAAGCCGAATGAAAGACTTCGTCTTCTATCATTGTTTTCTTAAAACCTTTTGGTCTACTGACCGTTGATGTAAAATTTCTGTTGAAATCATTTAACGACCAATTAGCCAGGTGACGGAAGTGTAGAGGTACTTGGCCAGAGATAAAAAAAAATCAGCAAAGACGAAATTATATAGTGGTAACTCGTCTTGAGTAAGGCAGAATTTTTGATAATAATTATAAAATTGCAACTGAACTGGGTTTACCGCACTTATTACTTGCACCGAATTACTGTCGGGCCATAGCAAGTCCTGGTCTTAAAATTCTGTTTAATTGACATTTTTTTTAATAGATACGTACTTGAACAGTGTTTCTTTTCCAAATTTGATTTTTGAAAATAAATATGAATAGGATTTTGAACTAAAACATTTCAAAACAATAAAGCCCCTTTGTCTGCTGCTTAATTTCTGTTGGGCAAAATCCTTTATAAATATGACTGCATGAATAACTGCAGCATGATTTTCAGGTAGTGAAATGTGCTGCGACGATCGTATCATTGTAAGCTACTATCGATGGCTTCAGAATGGGCTTAAACCAGAAAAGATCGGTGAGTGGGGTCATTTCGATTCATCAGGCTCGATCGATGATTCATCGATTCAGCTTCAGCAGGTTAAACATCAGATTTCATTGCATTAGTAATGATTGTATTTTGAAGATATGCGCATTGAAAATATTTTAATTGCTAATGCAATGAGGCTAGATATTCTAACGCCGTCCGGGATTTAGAACCATTAAGTAACTATATAATGAATCAATATACGATAAAGCCTATAAACAGTATTGATCATCCATAAGTAGGTGAAAATTTACTCTAAAATAGTGAGTTACTTTAGACACCTCTCACCTGGCGTGTTCAGCTATGCGCCACTGTTAGGTGTAGTGTTTGTTATCTATGATTCTTTAGCACACGTGTAAAGAACAAAGTCTTAAGAAAGATTAATTGATGTGAGGTTTTTATGATTTCTGCGGATGTCACGTGGACTTTTGACAACAGAACTCTACTTTAGTTATAGGAGACTTAACTTTATGACACAATTGGCAATCATACACAACAGAGCACGAAGTTAACATACGAACTGTGTGCAGAATAAGTCGTCGGTAGACTTCACAATAATCATTGATCACAGGCCCATGGTTCTTCTAATGTAAATTTGGCCTAGCTTCATGAACGCGCGGTTCAAAAAAAAATATCTCATCTTCTCATGCACAATGACAATCAAGTCGTACATAAATAAAACGTTGCATAGTTAGTAAGGCAATCACCCTCCGTCTCCACGGGTGAGACGAACGCCAAGACTTGTTACACAAATTATATTGAAAAATATGCAACACATCCAAATATCTGTGTTAATAGTTTATCTATTTAAAATACTTAAAAATAGTTTATCTATCTAAAGTGATTTATTTATTCATTAATTGCATCCTGGATTAACTGTAATTGTTTTGTTGTATTTTAATATTTTTACTAGCACATTTGTTGTTATTATGTTTACATTCGTTCAAACACGGATCTCCAACGCGAATTACCAGGCAATGTTGGCTATTTCCATGATAAGGATGCGGCTGCTATCAGTTGAAATATTTTCTTGTTTAACATCTAAACGCGTTTTTCTAACTCGTTGATATTCAAGAGGACTATCTCTTTACCACAGAACTACAACTAGGGGTTATCAGCGAGTTACCATTATGATGCTGTTATTTCATAACAAATTTCCTTCAGTGCTCTCAGCCACTGTATCTAGAGCACCCAAACGAATGTATAGCGCCATAATACAGGAAGCGATGTATTAGGCAGTGCCTTCTGTATTAAGTAGTGATGTGAGAAAGACATGGGTAAATATTTTCTCTAAGAAAGAAATCTGTGGTAGGCATGTGTTCTTTGCGTAACCCAGGCGCCCACCAACATTTAGTCTATAGCAGATTTTGTTAGCGTACAGAGCGCGCTGCAAGTTTGTTAAGTATAGGTAGTAAATTTTTATTGGTATTATAAGATTATCATGAATATGTTAATATCAGTTACTTGGTATGCTGTTAACGACCGGGTGCGTTACAGATCGATACTGGATAGAGATCTGCAGGCCGCTAGAGCTCTATAATCCACCGTTTGTCTTTCGTATTTAGTTGTCAATTGTTCAAAGGTCAAGCGGAAAAAATTGCTTCACGTAAGCATGGTCTAGTAAGACTTCTAAGACTAAAGACTTCTAAGTACAACAAGAAAAACACACAGTAGGTCAGTAAATAAATTTTCTTCAAAAACGGATAATTATAACAGACTTCCTACTTACGATTGGAAACGTCTAACGTACTGATTATATTACAGAATTCTAATCATTTACTTATTATCATCACATCTATTCATCAGCAGAACTTATCCGACCGTTTGTTCTGTGGCGGTTTCCGAAAACTTTTTCAGCTTCCGAAATATCACTAGTTCGCTCGTGTGAAAAAAGTGCTCTTTACTTCGTCTTTATTTTTGCATTTCAGTGAACACACAGTTTCGACAAACGGTCTCATGCACTAATATCTGCTTATCTACTCATTCAAGCAGTCAATTATTTTATGTATAACACTTGCTATACCATCAGTTGTAAATGGGTCACTTACTTGCATTGTTGCTGCGTACTGTAGATATGTAATCAAAAGTCAGAAAGACACCAAACGATCTTTCTTATTTCTCCCCGTTTCTGTGTTGTATTGTATTGTATTTTATACGTTATTTATGCAGTATTCTAGCTGGAATTCATTTTTGCCTTTTAGCGCAATCAAAAAGATCGTCACCATTCTTTTTGCCGCTTTTTTTCTCCACATTGTTTTTAACCGGAGCTTTCTGCAAGCGGATCGTTTTCAGTTAATCACGGGGCCGTTTTTCGTGCCGGGCCTACATGGCCGAGCCGCTCTGGATTGAGCTCGACAACAGCAGTAATCACAGACACAGTTTGTGCCACCATGCTGTTATACGTCGCCGCCGGCCTACGAAAAAGCTAGCTTGAACAAGATGGCATGTACGAGTAGACGTCCCGTAAATGTTCTGGCCGTCCAACTGTTGTTGTTGTTTACCTGATTATTTTCGGAGCTCCGATGTCGCAGCAAACCATATTCTGCTATTTTGCGCCACTTTCGGATACCTTTCCGTTTTCTTGGTCGCTGAACTACTCCACATGCCTCGGTTTGACCTGGCCAATCCCTGCAGTCCGGCTTTCGGCTTTTCTATCATTTAGACGGCCATCTGCGGTACCATGATCGTTGTGAAGACTCACACATTTAGTGGAATATAATAGGGGGGTCTGTCTCTTTTATATAATGGTAGGAGCTGACAATGCAGCCGTGTAGCCGCATGCCGTATTTTTAGCTCTATAACACAACTATACAATATGAGAGCTACAATCCGGTTTGGTTAGTTCTGTCTCGATTTAGACTGCCGTTTGTCAATGCTATTGCGACCTATCTAGTTGAAGTGATTACGGATTGGCCTCGGACGGTAGCATTACGGCCAGGCTTTTACATAGTATGTGAGGGTACTGACGACAAAAACGTCGTTCTGCAAGTTGTTCTATGCCGATATTACTTTGGAGAGATATTCTAGGATTCTATCTAGTCGAATGTCAAACCCGCAGTGCGAGTGAAACCAGAGCCGAATCATTCTATCAACAATCATTCATTTCGAGTCTCTGTTGAGATAATATTTGAAGCAAACGTTCTGAAGCTATGCAATCTCGAACATTCATATCTCGACTACATTCCGCGGTTTTAAGCTTACCGTGTTATTGATAAATGAAAAATATCCAGGTTTTAGGAGGCAAAATGCATGAAAGTCAGATCATGCGAAAATCGTAACTCGGTCAAATTTTCTCATCTGTATCTATTGTGCACATATTATGAATCGTTCTCGATGTAAACGAAACAGTCGATATGGAAAGATATTAGTTATGAGATGAATGTCTCTTCACGGGATAATGTAGTTCATCGTTAGTCTCGCAGAATAGTGAAGGTCTGTCTTAAATGTAAATAAGCCCCAAAGCAAATCACATTGTATAAGTGCAGTAAACTCGTGGTAAGCTTAATTACTTTGATCATATAAGAAATAGCGATTGTAGGAAATACCTATCGCGGATTACGATGGCCGAATCGGAGGTGGATCTAGCTACTTGCATATGCAGTTATCTGGGTCACTGATTCTGACTAGAATGTTCTGGTATTGTTATAGCGTGCTAAGTATCTTTGTCTACGTTACAAATTTATATTCTGTCATTTCATAGTCGAGCGTCTGAGCACCAGCATAACGCCGTGATGGCAATGATGGTCTTCACGGTACGACGGTTCATGAAGTTACAGCGACATAATATTGATGTCTGCACAAGCTTTGATAAAATCGCTTACCTCGTTACCCACTGTTAGCTGTTTAAAACTTCAGTAGTAGATTAGTGCAATATTTGCAATCGCTTAGCGGAATTATTATTGCCCAGATATGAGCTATTCTGTTTCGCCATACTTAGAACTAAAAGATCAAAAGAAAATAACTTGTTAAAGGTTGTTTGTTTCTACGTTCCTGAACAGTTATTTAATTATATATATAAACTGTTTATAAAGACAATGTTTTGAACATTTGCCTCGAGTAAATATGCACCCTTTGTGAATGTAAAACTATCAATGGAAACTTGGATATATCTTTAGTACTCTTTGCATTACAAAAAAAAAATGCTGATTATTCCTCCAAATTCAGATTTCCAAATCTCTAGATAGAAGACTGGGACCTGTTAATATCTTATCCTTCGTCGAAAAAGAACTTAAGATCAAGTTGACGCCCAACATTCTTAGTATACTACCTTGATTAGAAAGCGATTTCTTCTAACACAATTAGAAAAACGTACTTAAGGCTTTTTGATTGGACCTTCCATTTATTTGGGATAGTGATACGCTATATTTTGACTGTGACATCTGTTCGCTTACTTCATACTGGACGTAAGTAATTCACTTCAATTGAACGCAAGTGTATTGAAAAACGCAAAAAAAAGCCGATATGTTATGTGTGTGTTGATTAAATAGATGTTATTAAAACAAAAATATATTGCTTTTTCAAATGCAAAACACAACTGCTTTCGAATCGGCAATTCTGTGCCTTTCATCAAATTTCTAAGTCGTTCTTTTCAAAGCAGAAAGCATGCTTTTGATATATCAGGATGAGCTTTTAGCATTTAGGCTTCGAGGAATTTTCAAATTTGTATCACTGATTTTTTGAAAAATCATTAAATTATATCCACTAGCCTATTATTTGGCTATCTTCTAACCCGAATCTAGTTCTTCCGCTGTTTCTGTCTCTGAGTGACAAAACAACAAATGCATTTAATTTAAATATACAAAAGCACAACAACCTGCAGCAATATTAGCACTGTGACACCAAAAAGAAATGGAAAATCTATGTGGAAAAAACGAAGCAACTAAATGAGATTCAACGTTCGCACTAATAATTTCATGGCTTTTTCGAGACGAGCCAATAACTGGTTGGCTACGAATTCGAAGTTATGCCTCCAGGACACCTACGTAAAGCTCTTGATGTCGATATGCCGCTCAATTGTCGCGTCAATAATGTACCTGTAGAAAAGAGTCATATGTATATACAAAACTAACAACACGACTTAAGTTCTCTAAAGTAGACTTTGTAACTAACGGGTCGACTATAGTTTAATCGAATCAAATCGTATAAGTATAATAAGTCTAACGAAAGGTTAGTTAACAATAAAGCAATAGATTGGATTAACGGGATCGATTGGATATATTCAGAACTATCAAAGACTATATAGAGCAAAGATTGTGTTCTACCCGCTGGCTATATAGCCACCTTGAAAAGATCGCAATTTGAATCGAGGCGTTGCATCGTACTTTGATACCGACGTTAAGTTAGACGTCGTGATTTCAATCCTATAATCATCGCAGATATTTCACTTATCTTTGATTTTATTCTCATTCTATATTTTTCAGATGTCTCTTTGATCACGCATCTGATTCTAGGTTTCTGCGTCGTGAAAGACGATGGGACTATTGGAGAAGGCGAAACTCACGGGGAGCGCAGCTACAGCGCGGTTGTGGCACTCAAAAAGAAAAATCCCAAACTTAAGGTGTATGCTGGTTGTACATAGATAAGAAAGTATGGTACTTAAAAACTATTGGCTTTCTCATTAATTTTTTTAATCAAAATACAATTCTTACCTTAGTGTTGAATGGTGAATTGCCTGTTTTGTAATTATCTTGTGTGTTTATTCTGGTAGAAACAAACTTAGAAATTGTTAATGCTGAAACCCAGTTATGCAACGCCACTGTGTGTTTTAATTTTCACTGGTTTCTATTCCAGCAGTGGGTCTTGGTGAAATATACCCCTACTGCAAATAGAAAGTTACCAGCGCAAATAGTAACCAGCGGATAGCATTTTGACATTTTTTAGTATGACACATTTGTTATTGCTTCTCCATTGTGAGACATTGTTACGAAAAGCGGTTTAAGAGTTAATTTAGGCGCTATTTCTGGCATTTTAGGGGCTTGACTCACAAGTTCAAGTACAATTCAGACATTCTTGCAGGTTAATGTACTGCCGTTTAAATGTGTATATGTTTTCTTCAGCTTTTCTCGTAGAACTGCCTCGTAATTTATACCAGCTTCGTCTTTCATTATTAACACAACTCATTACAAAATACACCATTCACCTGCGGCTAAGGCACTGGCTAGCCTAATAAGTTATGCTATCGATTTCTTCAGTTGCTCTATTTTTGTCTTTCTAAAGTTTGCTTTTTCAAGTACTAACATCTCAGACATCAAACAATTTCAGGTCCTCATTTCTGTTGGCGGTGGGGGTAATCATGCAGGTTTCGTTTCGATGGTAAAAAATGATGACCTATTGAACAGGTAAAACACTTCACGTAATTTCTTTTTTGTCGTAAAGCATACTTTATGAAATGTTGCACGGGGTGGACAGCAGAGCTTATTGAATAGACAGACAATTTCAAAGACCTATCCTTGTCTCCTATCGAGACCAGAAAGCATTACACCGAGAACACGCTTATCCATTTCGATGGAACTTTACTAAGCCTACATTAATGGATAAACGTTACAAAGCTGTATGCTTGAAAACATATGCGTTATATACTTACCGATGCTACTCAGTAGCAATGCTTAGGTACCTTGGTATCCATGTTCACGCTAGGATAAACGGCCCGGATACAGTTACGTCTACTTTATTTAAATATTCTTGGCAAGTGACGTGACTCATTAGTCGCTCGCAATTTACCTGCGTCAAGGCTGTAAATAATTTATTTACGGTCTATCGCAAAGTCTAAATGGAGAGAGATACAATAACATTTTCTAACGGAAATGTACCAGTCAATTAAAAAATATTCAACATTACACCTACCGACGCTTTTTGTATACGTGCTCCTTCCTGTGCCTGTCGAAATGATCAATCGCTGAAGGAAATAATTGTTTTTAAAATAAGAGATTTTCAGCGGTGTAATGGCCGATGATGATGTGATATCGTTTAAACATTAAAACTTATAAAAAATCTCGCGAACAGTTAAATTTTACAGTAGGGGTAGGTTTTATCTTAATAACATGTAACTTCACTACAAGCTATATTATACATATGTAACTTAAAAATATTTTACTCGTGTTAGTAATAATAAAGATGTACTTGAAAAAAAAAAATTGAAAAACATATGTTTGAATCGATGACAACGTTTTGCTGCCTAGTTACTGTTCGCCGCCGTTCTCATTTTCACGTGGGGTGTTTTTAACGAACCATGAGCACGATTCTTGTTAACTGGCAACAAGTAATTTGAACTGCTGTTTACGTCTGTTCTCTATAAAGATTTGTGAATTCGGCGGTATCGCTGATAGAACAGCATTCATTGGACGGCTTGGACCTTGACTGGGAATTTCCATCGGGGTCACGAGAGAAGACTCGTTTCGTGGTACTTCTCGAACATCTTCGAGATGCGTTTGACAAACATCCAATGAGACCGATTCTCACAGTAGCCGTTCCAGCCCAGTCGCCCCTCGTCAATAGTGGATACGACGTACCGAAAATTGCCAAGTAGGTGAAAAGGAATCACAACACGTTTCTTAGGCAGTTGGACGTGCCAGAAAATGACGGCTACACTAACTCCGTTTTGTAGAAACAACAATGATCCTGCTTTTGTAATCCACCAAAGAATAGTTGATGTGGAACGTATGTAAATTGCATGGTTGCTTCGATTGAAGGAAATGTAAGATGCAATTGATGGTAATTGATTAGGTAACGAAAAATTACTAGGAAATATTAATTTTCGTGCGCATAACGTGCTGCGAATCACAAATTATAAATCTCTTTGTTTCAGAACCGTAGACCTGGTATTAATCATGACGTACGACCTTCACATGTACAAGTGGTATTTGCCTTTTACGGGTCATAACGCTCCTTTAATGCCTGGTAAGAAGGAGTTCTGCTATTTCAAGACGCTAAACATACGGTATAGGTGAGTGTTTGTGGACGACTACGACATACGTCAGTTTGTCATCGTTCTATGTATCTAGCGATAAAGGCAAGACATTTCTAAATCAAATATTTAATAATATCGTCATCACAGCTCCTGCATATATATCGTGCTCAATCAACCGGCTGCTATTTTACCTAAATTACCATACATTTTTTAAAGTTATATATGTAAAGAATGGCATTGAAAAATATAGCACCGTAATGTCAACGAGCTACCTCTGAGATAATATAATGCCTCCTTTAATCAAAAAGTATTTTTTTGTATTATTATTTGCATTTGTTGTTTCAGTGCGAAGATGTGGGCGAAACGAGGTGTACCGAAAAAAAAGCTTGTTGTGGGGGTCCCTACATACGGCCTCACGTGGAAACTTCTATTCAAATGGTGGAGAGGTTCTTGGGCTCCTGCTGTTGGAATCGGCCCCAACGGAGGGTACACATCTTATCCAAAGGTAGGTATCTGAACGTATTTACCTTTGTCCTATTTTACGATCAAGCTTGAGGTCAGCATACTGGAGTACAACAAAGTTCGATCACAGATTATTACGCGTCAGTGTATGTAAAGAGTTAACTAACGGTCCCATCTGCATTAAAAGGTCTTGAACATGCTCTCAACTAATTCGGGTCGCGCAAAGTGGGACAAAATCTCCCACACGCCGTACGTGATCACCTCTGATAAAACGTGGATTTCCTATGACGATCAGGATTCGATACGAGCCAAAGTTAAATTCATCCGTGAAGCTCAGTACGCTGGTAAGCTTTACCCGTAACTCACGTCGCCCATTAATATATGGGAGCGACAATATGCAAGTAGACCTAATGTATATAGCATATCAAGGTATGATATCAGAAAAGTTAAGCAAACAACGACCTACGTTCCTGATAGATATGTCGTAGAGGGACTATCTTGAGCTATCTTTTAAGAATGTCACCTACAGCCTGTTAATATATTCATAGTGGCAAATCAGTACAGTACGGAGAACAGCAAATAAAGTGCCATGCTGTATTATAGAATTCCTCCGTTGTTATCTAGCGTCAGACATCAGATTTCGTATTGTAACGTCCCAAACAATGCAAAAATTGTCTATTGATTACTAATACTTAACGTTTTAGTTTACAAATTTGCCTATATTTGGAGGCATAGCTGAGCTATCTGTTGATCTTTTAATGATTTTTTGACGGAATCGTTTTGTGCGAATTTTTAGGCGTAATGTGCTTCAGCCTGAACTGTGATGACTGGGGTGGGGAATGTGGCCGCGAGAATTTCCCTCTTCATAAAACAATACATTCTGAACTTCTGCTCACGGATCGTCTTTGAGTAGCGGCCCCGACTTCGCTTGAGGGTTAAGCGAGCATGGGCAATATAGTAACGTGGGCTAAGAGACATCGGAGACATTTTTTTTTAATTTCGTATTTATTCGAAGGAAAGTACTTCTCTCTGCGAGAAGTTTCTTTCTTTTGACAGATAGAAAATACAATAATAATGCGGTCGGATGCGCAACAAATTACACCCGAACCACCCACGTCAAAAAACCTGAACACGTTGTAAGGCTAACGTAAGCCGCAAATCGAAAGAGCGTGCAAAAATTACTCTAATACTTACTTCAGGGCATGTTGGCGGCAAACTATCTATTATGTAATACGTAATTCACCCACTTGCCCAACTGAAAGCTCGAGCGAAAACATAATCTGGTTCTGTGAAGAAAAATAAGACAGAATGGAGATGGTTAGAGTTTTTGCTGAGTTTCCTAGATAAAATAAGGACGCAAAAGGGCCTTCGGCGATATCTTGCATCTGTAAGAAAGGCTTGATGGCTTTAATAATTACTATATATGTCGGTAGGTGAACATTTGCTCGATCAGTTTGAACTAGCTAGATGTACATCGAGCAAAAAAAGACTCGGGCTCGTTTTTAGCTTGATACAAGCGTATGTGAAACACTGAGAATGATATCACAGGACTACGTGTATCGATCGTACATTAATATGGAATTTCGCTCTTTATTTTTGAAATCACTTTGTGTCATTGTGAAGATTTTTGTCATAGGGCAAACACGTTAGAAAAGATCATACCGGTACGGTTTTTAAAGGAGGTCACCTAATTATGTCTTAAGTGGTTGTAGTAGAGTTTGAAACGAAAAACCAGAGGTTAAAGTATGAAAGCGCATATATGTGCATTGTTTAACATAATAAGAGCCTATATGTGGCCAGTAAAAATCTACCGATTTAACTATCGATTTAACTATTTAAGTATCGACTTACTAGCTGCCCACCCACATCGTTATTATGGTCATCCATAAGATGCTACGTATAAGGTTATACAGAATCTAGCCAGAACTGTAACATACAGTATATTCTTCAAATACTGCACTCTCTGGATCTCGGAGATTTCGGTAAAGTCGCATGTTTGGATATGATATGATTAATGATCGTACCGAGTAATGGCAAAGTGCGTCATATCTTTTATATGCTTCAATAAGAAACCATCAATAATTATAATTCCAATGTTTTCAACGACATATCGTCCAGTAACATTTCTTGAAAACACTAATATACTTTCACACTCAACGGATTTAGCATATATGCGATATAGTGTGTTCAATGTATTATGTACATAGAGAAGCCATAATTCTACAGAACCAATTTATGTTAGCAACGAAATGGCGGTTCATCTTGTAACTTGACGCTCCCTTCTATTGTATTTTTCATTATTTTATCTCACATACGGAAAGGATGCTATTATCATTTTATCCTTATAATCATGGCGAAATGCGCGTTCCTGCCTGCACGTATGTATACTAATAGGTATACAGCGAAATATATACGAAGTGTCTATTATTCACATAAACATTTCTCAACTATTTACTTTAGCCCCACTCTACAGGGTCTCAATGTCCATTATAAGATAATATGGTAATGATGAATAAAGTAAACAACAATGAATGCTCGCTGTGATTTTGGAAACGTGTCAGATCATCGCTTCATTACATTTTTTAATCGAAATTTTTGGTGTTTACAATTGATGTTGAGGTCGTATAAGACGCAATGCATGAATAATAGTAAAAGTAATCTTAATCATTTAAGCAGAACTGGTTATCACTAACAAAATTCAAAGCTCGGCAGTGGTGTGCTTCTGGAAGTACTTGAGCTTATCGTTGGGGTTTGGTACAATCTGCAACAGAGCACAATTTACGACCCGTTAGTATGAAGTTCTCTACGGGACTTTCAATGAGACATCCTTATTCCATTATGCCAGTTTGTTAGTACGATTAGACATCGTATACGTCCTAAATTTCCTATTACGTCTTTCACACCTGCATATAATATGCTGCCTACCCTCGATGTTAGGTTTGAGATGAAAACATACTGTTTCATATCGAGGACTATTGTTCTTTAGCAGTTTAAAATGCATGCGTTTGACTCAGCTGTTCATTACATTTATCAAATCTGGTTTTTAAGATTTCAAATCTGTTTATGACACCTTTTTAGGGCTGGTAGCGTTTCTATTCTTACCGTATCCTTTCCGGGTTTCCATCCCGCGGGGCAAACTTCTCCATGCTTGTCCGTGTACTGAAAAGCCTGTACTAGTCGCAGAGTCTCATCTACCGATCTTCCCACAGGCAGATCATTCATTGTGATCTGTCGCAAAATTCCGTTAGCGTCGATGATGAATAAACCGCGCAAAGTATGGCCAAGGTCTTCTAGATATACGCCATAATCCTATTTCAACCAAAAAAATGAACTTTTAATGCCCAGAACGTTCGCTTGAAACACTATCAGTATCAGCCACGTGTTTTTCATCTTTGTAAGACGCATACACAACAGACCCCATAGTAATCATCCAGATTAATTCATCTTTGTCGAAAAACGCATCTTAAATACATACGTTTAAAACAGCTTTGCATTATATGCTACCCTACACTATGGAAAACAGTCTAGAAAACAACACGAGTCTAATGTTGATTTTCTTCAAACTATGCATTCTGCACACGAATGCCTTTATTACCTTCGAGATTTGGTGAGAGAGATCAGACAAGAGTGGGATCTGGACATTGCCAAGTCCTCCCTTTTCACGAGCCGTCTTTGTCCACGCCAAATGAGTAAAATGAGAATCAACTGAACACGCAATGACCTCGGCGTTAATCGAACGGAACTCCTTTATGCGATCGGAAAACGCGACAATCTCCGTTGGGCAAACGAACGTGCTGAAATGAGTCCGAGGAGTCCAACAATAATTACCAAATAAATTGTGCTCCAAGCGAAGTTTATCCATGCGATAAAAATTAAATAGGAAATTTCTTCTCAAACCGTAACACAAAAGGGATTAGAACAACTATTTTAGCCAAGGAAGTTTACAATAATAGCTAGTTTGAGATAATATTTCGCTAATGGTTTCCAGACGAAAAGCAGGTTTGTAGGCTAGCTATTCTTTAGGGGTATGTATTGACATGTGTGTCTGGGAAAGGCCGAATTTTAAATCAACTTGGTTTTTTAATAGAAAGCTATTATGACACAAACTTTTCTAACCTACTAATACTTACAAATCGAGGGGATAGAAAAAGAAGACGACGTATTTGCCCCTGTAGTCGCTCAACTTTACCTCCTTTATTTCGCCATTGACGATCGCCGGTGCTTTGAAATTTGGCGCCGGTTTTGAGACTAAAAAGAACGATATATATTCTCATTAAATCATTGAATTGTGCAAATTACCAGTGCTACCACCACGACGGGGCAGCTAAAAACACATTCATATCAATGTTTAGCATGCAATACTTATTTAGTGCATATGTTAACTACAGTACTTTAGTTATTCGATAATCGGTACACCGCCGACGCTCTTCCGCTGTCAATAGTCAATTTAAAGTGGGATCCACAGGGATACATACAATATCCACTTATTAGAGGCGTTATGGAAATATGAACTGTCACAGAAAATACCAATTGTGTGTTATTGCATATTATGTCCTACTACTGATCGGAATCATTAGCATTTTTCAGATCGCTCGACAAGGCCGCATGTATCTTAAGAGTCGCCAGCTTTAAGGAACTGAGATAGCCTTGAATAAACTGGGCGATTTAGTACACGTCCTTTACTAGAACTAGAACAAAAGCGTCAACACACGAGCTAAACTCAGTGTCCAAGTCACTCCGGAAAACCTAGTTAAATATAGATATATAGCACAACCGCAAATAATAAGCACTTACATGTCCGCTGTTTCATACAAAATATCAATGCAATTTTTTAATTCTATTGACTGATTGGGCTTCACTATCGAAAATAACTGATGAATCAATGAAATAATTAAATAAAATTAAATGTCCGTATGTTCCGATATTCGACACGCAAATTCGGGATCATCATTTTTCCTTATTTCTGTTCAGTACTACTTCAAAAACTGCAAGAGGAGCAGTCTTGCTGGGCTTACTGGGATTACCAACCTATTGATCCGGGCCTACTCAGACCGCTGTATCAGTTAGTCTTTATAACAAACCTACTATGGCAAAATATCGTCGGGTAAATCAATGGCAAATGTAGGACTTTTACTAGGAAGAGAATAAAGTTTCAGCCGACTGTTAGCTTTCTCACTGCAAGCCTCTTTTTTCATTTAAAAAAAAATTATCTAATTATATATCTCAGCCTTTTTAGCTGTTGTAGCATGTTGTAAATGGCAAAAAGTCAATTATCTACTTACACAAAACAGAGTATCAGTGCATTTTGAAGTGTTACAATGAATGTTACTTTGCTTAAACAATTCCGAAATGTGATTCCTGTTATTCTCTGAGGCATTTCTACAGACATCAGCTATGGCTGAATGTGAAAAATCTTCGAGATTTCTTTTCAAAGGTAAAATGCTTTTTCTTCTTTCTCTTCTGTTTGAGATCACTACTAGTTTTTGTCCAATGACGTATTGACACAAACCAAGTCAACCTCTCATATTTTCGATCGATTTCATTCAATGAAGTCTTTCTTGTGAAGTTTTCAGTAAGTCTACACTTTCTTAAATGTTTAGCAGACCGTCGGGCCTGTCTCACCCGCTTATATCGTATTTGTAGCTAAGTTTTTCGTTGTCCCGACAAGGCCATCGCTTTCTTGAACAACAAACACCTTTAAGAATGATGTCAATTAGCTACAGGTGGCAACCCTTCGGTTCATATGACCTCACTTTGTGAGATGCCACTTTCTTTGGCAATCCACGCCGTTGAAACACCCGATTGTCTATAGGCGTCTGCCTGCGAATTACGGCTGCATGTCAAAGTGGAGATCAGATAACATAGCTTATTAGACATACCACTGCTTAGGCCGACACTGACTGAGCTTTAGTTTGAGCAAAAAGTCATAATTTTTCTCTGATGAAAAACTGTGTTTCCTGAATTTAAATTCCATACAGAAATACTTCGATGTGAAACAAATAATATTTACTCACACACAAAATTACGATCAACCATCGTTTAAAAATAAATGCAAATCCTGTTATCGTTATGGGGATGTAAGATGTAATGTAAAGGATGAATGTAAGAGAGCAAGAGGGTTATCGGTGCTCGTAGACATATTCTAGTTAAACACCAGGGTTCGCTTAACATACCATAACCGAAAACGAGTATAGGTAAAAAAAAGATTCTGTTCAAATAAAACACATTAACACCCCTTGGCTCAGAAGTCTTTCATTTTTAAGCTCCCTTATAATAGAAGCCCATTTTAACACTTAGTTTTTTTTAATTTGCCTTTTGTGCCACAGTCGATTTGGCATGGTCCTTTCTGAGTGAACATTGAAAGGTAATAATGCTCACTTTGTGCTTTACTCCAAACGAGATTGTGTGTTCCTCGTCGGATTGCCTCCTGGGGATACACTTCTCCGTCAAGCGACGACGAGCATGACTGTCCATGGGCACCAATTACTGCAAAAGCAGCAAAAGTTATCACTTTACACATTTTTACAAAGTTTGCCCTTGAATTTTCCATACTACTAACCGAACGCCACAATCTCAATGCACATTGATAAACTTTTGTCAGCTTCTATCAGTAATGTTAGTTGAGTACACGTTTGTCGTGAAGTAATTGTTGAGAGAAATAACAAGAACTACGAATGGAGTTGCGCTGTAACTCAGATCACCAAAGCGAGCACAGGTAACCGGTCTTCCTGGCCGCGATTGTTCAGCCATTCAGGCTCAGGGCAGCAGACAGATACTCGGATGTCGCCTCTTTAGCCGTCGTTTCAGCCGTGAGCGTTCGCTGCAAACGCACGCGGAGTTAGCGGAGTTCGATGACTACGGAAGAGAAAGAGTGCTCTATTTTAGGCGGCTATAACAGCTAATAACCCTGTACTGATAAAACATCAGATAGGGTGCTGTGTCGATATCGATACAATATGGCGTGTGTGTGCTCGTAGAGAAGACAAGCTGAATAAGTAATTACAGCGGAAGTCGAAAATGAAGATATTGAAACTAACGGCTATCGATCGACAGGACCGATTCCTTTATGGCTAATGAACGAACGACTGCTAATAACAAACAGCCCTAAAATTATTGATAGGAACAGCGGGTGCGTTTCTGGAATGATTCCTTTGTTTATCAACGCTGACGGAGGGTTTTACAAAATATATATGTAGCGCCTAAGCATGGAGTGCGTATGGGCTATTAATGGCATGCCAGCGATATTTTGACCTAAGCAGGACAGTTTACCTCTAATTGATGGCAAGAGTATGATGAAAAAATTCAGTATTTTATTATATATATTATATGTATATTCCCATGTGACTTGTAGTCACTCCGACATATAACAGAAAGAAAAATAGTTACGACAACTAATGGTAAATTAATTATTTTTCCGCGTATAAAAAACTTAGTGTCTCCAGATATTAATAAGCAGCGTTGCAAAGATTTTTATGAGAATGTTCGGAACATGTCCTGATATAAATCATCGCGTCGCATAAGTACTAGCTAGAGTACAATAAAAGTTTAAGTACGGAACCGCGAAAATCCAGTTCGGCTTTATTTATAACATTTTTAGCTGTACTTTAATGATCGAATTATTATAAATCTAATTAAAGCGGTGCTTACAATTGAGACTGCCTAATACAAATAAATAAAAAAATATTTAGTAATTAACCTTTTCTCTGAGTTTTAAAACACCAATACTCTTTTTAGGTTATGTTTATTCTATTGGTTCGCTTAGAGAGGCCTTAGCTCGGACATTTTTGCGCGACGGCTTGACGTGGATCTATTAAAGGCCGTAGTTTTTGAAACTAATAATGGAAAAATGATTTAGTCTACTAACAGATATGGCTTAAAGACGACTAGGCAAAGAACAAGAAGTCGATGGTCTGTATTTCGGTTAAAATTAACCTTATAACTTTTTAAGCATGCTCGAATTGCGCGAGTGATAAGCAGGCTAGAACACGTCTTTAGAAATGATTAACAACGAAATCGGCTAAGCGTAGGCTCAACGTAAGCGGAATGTGTTATTTTTTTGTTTCACTGTTCTCTGTATTTAAAATTATTCAACCATAAATTAAAATTTCCCTTCTAAATTCAGTAGCTCCCTATGGAACTAAAACCGACGGTTTGCTATAATAAGCGTACTAAGCCTTGAACAGCGCGTGTACTTCTTTACTCAAGAGCTTTATTATTTCAACGTACATGTATTTATTAATGTTCCTACATTTTTTTAGCTGTAACTTAGCCCACTGTTTTCGCTACTTAGTTACTCCCATTAGGCCATAGTAGTTTGGCCAGAGTATTTTGAGAAGTTAGATCTAACCACTACGAGACACAACAATCAGGACTTCCTTTTAATGCTTTTTCCACCTTCGCACACTTTCATTAAAACAATTTAATCAATTTCTGGCTATTCTCAAGAGAGGCCAAGTAGTGCCCTTCGTTTAACCTTTGTCTCGTTCGCGATTGTCCATCCTTTTAACGCTGAGTCATGCGCAAGTGTGGTTTGTCACTGTTATCCAGAAAGTGGCAAACAGTTCCATCATCCGTCTACAAGTCTCAGTTATAATTCACCTGTGAAAATACGTAACGTTACATAACCGGCATTGGTCGCGCAGTTATATAATCGTTGTTACTGATATTCTGTTCCTGCTGTATTGCATAATAGTGTACCGCCATAGGGTTGAGTAGTGTTTGATTAAATGTGGTGGCCTGCATTCAGAAATGTGGGGGTTTTACAGCGCCATGTGATTCAAGCTGAAACGTACGTGTTAGCATCTAACCGATGATTATCGGCTGGTAAATTATCCAAATTGTCTTATTATCCTTCTCACGTATATACTCTAAGAAGATCACTCAACGATAGGCACAAATGCGAATGATAAGACTATGTGCTAGATGTCAGCTGATGTGGTAATACATCTAATGGCTGCCTGTTAAGTATAAGTAACTAGAAATCGTCGTCAGTCGATACATCCTGGAACAATCTGGGCTTGCAAGTCTGATAAAATCAATTATACAAGTGGACGAAACTTTTCGGGCCGTAAACCTGTGATCTCGTGTTAGTAATAGTAGACGACTAAAACACTGAATTGCAGAATTCACCAAGAGGAACTGACGTGGCAATTAAAGGCCGCGAAACCATAGGCTTCTTCCCTTTCATAATTTCTCAAAATCGATCTCTAGCTAGGACAGCATGCATTGACTAATATTTCAAGCGAAAGGGCCAATGGTTTTTACTTTTGCTGCATAATTGTTATAAAGAGGCTTAAATGGAGGTTGAAACAACAACATGTTCGGTAGGCTGAGTTCAGTCAGGAACTTAGGGAAGCTGACGCGTCGAGGCATGTCTTCTAGGCCCTCATTTCAGTTAGAAGTAAGTGAAAAGAAATTCATTCACACAAATTCAATGGACATAAGTAGACACGTATACAAAGCATTGGCATGTCTCTACAGCACAACAACACAGGTGTTTCTGCAACGCTGTTGGCAAAGCGTAAACAATTCCTAGCAGTTACGAACATGACTGTAGTAGGTAGTACCTTGTCGTACTGTGGGCTGCTTTTACTGCAGAATAAGGATTGATCAAACAAACCACAAAAAAAGCGTAATTATTACAAGTGATTTCATCGTTTTCCTGCTAACAAAAACTTCCCATTGGTGAGAACAAACGTTGGAAGCGCGACGGGCACCCAGATCAAGGAGGAAAATATTTCGAGGTAGCCATGACGCTATTCAGTCGTAACACGGTCATAACGTCATCGGAGTAACAAAACGGATACACGTATAATAGAGATGGTCAAGTACCTGATTATGCCTGAAAATACGCTGGAAGTTGCTTAAAACAAAATAAATACACAGCAGAAGACTGTTTTACAAATTCTGACTATCGTTTTTGTCGTCTCGGCCTGAAGCCGACACAATGCTCAAGAGTTTATCCGAAATGTCTGTACAAGCGCTACTAGTTTTTTTATTCCATTTGTTGCCTGCATACAAGGTAAAACATACTGCCCGTCGTAGTGCTAAACTCTTTTCGAGACGAGGTTTTATCAAAATAGCAAATGATTGAATTTTGATATTTGGATAAGGCTGAAGTCTCTCAGCGTCAATATCGCTGCTAAGCGTCCATGGCACCTCGTGAAATGGAGACAATTTCGAATATGTTTTTCTGTTCTGATCTTATCCAGCTCAATTATTGTGGCATCACTCGCGTTTTCTGGGGAGCAGTTATATTTTTCATTATAACTGGCAGCGAAGAATGCCGTATCCGTTAGTTTTGTTACCAGTCGAGATTGTTCCGTACGACTAAATTGCGTTTCTCGTTTTGTATTTTTCCGTTCAAGTGCATTTAGTGCCCTGTTAAGTCCACTTGTGTTCATCACAAAGACTTCAAGCGCTCACATTTTCATATAAAGGAATAATAATAGTTTCCATCGCGATATAGTTTTTTTTTTTGCAAAACCATTGCCTAGAAAGAATTGTGCCTAATAGAGATCTATCGAAATTTTGAGTTGGACTAGGCACCTATGGGTCGGGACCTTAGGATTCGAATGGTACACGATTTTCGGGTAATGGCTGGTTGCGATACGCTAACTTAAGGCCATACATGGCTGTAGCTTCACTGTCCTGTCACATTGATAATCTGTTAATTAAAGGATTAGCTGCATTTTACCGGCTTTATTTTGCCTTTACTGAGGAAGCATTGCAACGCACATCGACATAACGCTAACTACTGAATCAGGATGTGGAGATTTTCATTAATCAGTATAAATACGATTTTTTCGTCGCATTTCCATACGATTGGTATCGGCAGCTCCCATTTAATTCGGCCAATATTGATAGGGTTATTATCGTTGTTCAGTAATCTAAATCTGACCACCTGTACAATGAATTTATTGTAAAATCGGTTACTGAAAAATCATCTGTATTTCAAAGAAGACCTTTCATTATGCCGGCCTGCCATCATTACGTTTTGCTCATATGCCATTATGAACAAAACGTAATGTTGTACAAATATATATTTGTTAACCAAATTGAAACACGTCCGTAGCATTGCGGTAAAGGATATGGCAAGCAACTTCCACTGTGAAGTATATCATGCATAAAAAGTGTTACAATATTTATATTGCCGGGTTATGACTACTATGAATAAATGAAGTAGCTTACTGGGTTCACTGAACGTTTTAAGCTAGTTTAAACTAAAACATGATGCTCGATGTAGAAGCGAAAACGGTACTTTGTTATATGGCAATGTTGGACTAACTACCGTTCCTGAACTTGCTCTTCTGATGGATGAACGCCATCAACTGATGGCGTAAGCAAAAAAAACCACGGCTGACCCGTGTATCTTAATGGTATTGTCGTCGCGTAATAACGCCAGCGGTGATCTGTTGCGCCTCGATGCAAGTCATCGATGTCAATTCTGCATTGTTCGTCGGAATATCAATGGCTGTTGTAGGACGAAGTTATCGTTTTACTTTAAAAATTAATTTTCTGTATTAAATTTTCATTGTCGGCTGTTATCTGCATTGGTAAAAAAAAGTTTTCCTGTATATTTAATTAACTACATTAAACTGCATACATTAAGTGAAAATACTACCTAGCTTAAGTGATTAGACCGAACAGCTTGGATAAAATCAAGGGCCATTTACCGGCCAAAAAAGGGTACGAAGTGATCTGAGAACGTGCAGCACAACGCAAGGAACAAGAAGTCGCCTTTCAGGCTGAGTGTTCGCCAGACGGACTCTTCTGACTACGATTGCTGTTATTAGATCAATTAATCAATTAAAATTTATTGGTTGAAAAGCGGCTCTCAGAGGTTGAGGAAATTTGCTCTTTTCAGTTTGTATTCATAGATCCAATGGTTTCACTACAAGGAAATCCGCTAGATGACTGATAAATAGAGGTTCTCATAATGAAACTAGCGATCCTAACGGCAAATACATC